GCACACACAACAGTCAGAGTTTTCCCCCCCATAACCCGAAGGCGTAGGGAGGCAACCCTCTCGTCCACTGGGGTAGACTCCAACAACGAAGCACCCAACCGGGGACTTGTGAGTATCCCCACACCCGCCCGGCGCCTCACACCTTGAGCAACTCCGGAGAAGAATAGAGTCCAACCCCTATCCAGAAGTAAGGTTCCAGAGCCGACGCTGTGCGTAGAGGTGAGCCCAACCAGATCCAACTGGTAACGCTCCACCTCCCGCACAAGCTCCGACTCCTTCCCCCCCAGAGAGGTGACGTTCCACGTCCCCAAAGCCAGCTTCTGTCGCCCGGGTCTGGTCCGTCGAGACCCTCTGCCTTCACTGCCACCCTTCTGGCAGCGCACCCGACTCCATCGCTGTTTCCCGTAGGTGGTGGGCCCGCGGGACGGAGAAGCGGAGGTGTTGCCCACGTCGCCTTTTCGGGCTGTGCCCGGCCGGGCTCCGTGGCAAGCCCGGCCACCAGACGCTCGCCGACGAGTCCTCCTTCTGGGCCTGGCTCCAGAAGGGGACCCCGGGCTTCCTCCGGGCCGGGTATCCTCACTTCGTGTGTCACTCCCTATCCTTTTCTTTCTTGTTTCTGTCTTTCTTTTTGAGTTATCGTTGACACAATTTCTTGTGTACTGTATTATACGTATATGTGCCTCTGTGAACAATAAAAACAGGTCACAAAAAGAAAGGCTGAACTCTACCTTACCCTATCTCCCACTAAAGTAACTGCATTTTTGTATTATTATGGCCACTAGAAGCTGGCGACAAACTTAATTACTTAACTAACTTTATATGGTCAAAGGAACTGGGTCATTTCCCATTTTAAAATAAATCTGAATTGACTGTGTGTTCCTGCAGGTACAGAAGCGTTCAGGAGCTTGGTTCTTCAAAGGCAGAGTACAGCAGGGTCTGCCGCCCCCCCTCCCTCTGTCCGGATCCAGACAGTCCAGCTTCGACAGTTCTGGACAAGATGAAGCTACACATCAACAGAGATACGGTAGTTTAAGCTATAATTTGTTAGGGATTGATGTAAGGACATTTAAGAATATCTTGACTGTACTTAAATAAATATAAGTAAACATATCTAAGTGCATTTTAATTTCAACAACCAGTACTATTAGATTGATGTTATAACATTTAATTCTCACTTCGTACACAAAAAGTATGTACAAAATACAATTTCTACATAAGGTTACATTATATTTTGATTAGGTTACTTATTAATGTAAGCTTTAGCCTTAGTACAGTTAAAGTGGACTGAGTAAAAATAGTAGTAGTAGAAAGATTTGTTCTTGATGAAACTGCAAAAATAAAATGCATATCCAAGTGTCATAATATAGTATTCATGTTTCATTAAAACATGATCCTTGATGCGCTCGCCACAGGACCCAAATGTCTGATGGTGTTACAGAATGCAAAGTGCAGCAAACACAAAGTGCCACGGCCCGTTAGCTCCTGCAGCCGGCTGCTATAAACGCTCGTGTCACTTTTGACCTATATTTAAAAGAATTAAACTATAATGCTGGCTTTTCCATGAGAAACAGTAGCAAATTAGATCTTTTAATTTATTGAACTAGATTAAATTATCTTCACTTTCCTCGATCTGTTCACCGTTTTCAGTTGAGCAGCTATTACATGCTTGAATAAATGTACATCTGGCAAATTGTACTTGTTATTTCCAAAATACCCTTTGTTTATTTAGAATATTAAGAAATGATACTTCTTATCTACTAGACTTGGATGAGCTGACACAAGGTTACTCTATATTAAAGAATCTTGGACATAAATTCATATTTTATGACATTTTATTTTCAACTTCTCTTCTCTGTGTTGCGAGAAATATTGTACTTTTTACCTGCATATACTGCAGATTCAGATAATTTTTTATAATAGCAAAGAAATTATGAATGATGATTTATTATTACGGATTAAGATATTCAGCAGTGTTTGGGAAAATACTGAATGTACTCTTCTAATATCAGAGTAGCACATGATAACAAAGGCCCTACGTAGTTGTGTGTGACAGGATGTATGATTACCTAGAAGAGCGTCAGGACACACTGTTTTAGGCATATGATGGCTATGTGACAACGATTAACATGATGATTCAGCCTCTTTGGAGATAGATATACGACTGTCATGTTTATTGTTTACGCAGGCCAGCTAATCTAAACGAAGGCCAGAATACTGCTTTGAACCGGTATTCTGCACCTTGTGACTGAATAACACCCTCTTTTGTATATAAGCATGTCAAGGACACTGTTCGGGGAACTATTTGTCCCACGTAGCTGTGTGTGATGACAACTTCCATTCTTGAAAGGATAATAAATACATGTATCCTGATTTTGAAGACCAAGCCGGTGAAGAGTGATATTTTTCTAACAAGCAGTATTTAAATCACTTCAAATTAGGTCCAGCTTTACCATTTTCAACATTTAACGTGGCAAATGCATATCCATATTATTGCGAAATAGGACTTTAACTTATGGTTCTTTGAGTATATTTAGATAATATTACTTTGAAGACTTTGAGACAAGGATTTTTTAGATTATGATATTGCTACTTTTATGTCTTCCACCACTGGAAAAGAGATAGAACTAGCTGTGTGTCAGCATCATTATGTTCCTGGTGGCAGCTGATATTCTCATTTTGTGGCTCAGAGGCGCAGCAGCAGTCCTGTGGATCAGAACAATGGGAGCAGACAGCAAGAACAACAGCTGACAGCCATAATGAGAACCCGTCCTGTCCAGCTGCTGTAATGAAGACCGAGAGACAAGTGTTAGCCTCAAAACCACCGCGAGCAAACACACAGCACGCCGCCCCCCCCTCAGGTACAGCAGCACTGCTCCTTCTGAGAATAAACCCAACACAACAGGACTGCTTTCAAAATATATTCTGACAGTGTATAAAAAGATGCTTCAGACACTGCTAATTTCTCTTTCAGACGTTGGAGACAAACCCCCAGAGAGGAAGGTGTCCCACCCGGCGGTGGAGGAAAAAAGACAACCTGTCGTCTCCAGCTCCGTTTCATCCCCTGTTCCTGCTGCCAGGGTTAATCCACCTGTTAACCCACCTGCCAACAACCCCGCTTCCCCCCGACCCCCCCCTGACCAGACAGAGGACGAGGAAAACGACTACGACTCAGATGACGCAAGTAAGACCGATATTTCATCTTAAACTTCACCTTTATAGAATTTAAAATCCTCTGTATTAGTCTTAGAGTTTGACTTTTTCAATTATTTCTATCATTGTGAATAATATATATTGTGCTTGCATCGGTGAAAAAAAGTATGTGTGGAGCAGTGAAGAGAAACAAATGTTTATCTGTCTTCGAGGGAAATTGGTTTTCTAAGTTTTCAGATTCCATTTTTCTCTCAGATGTCACTTGAGGTCCTGTGTTTTTTATTCTTTCAGCCACGCTGGGGTCACTGGAGTTCAGCCTCCTTTACGAACAGGAGACCCACGCTCTGCACTGCTGTGTCATTAAAGCTAAGGTAAACATATGTACATACACACACATGAGAAAAAGAGACATGAAATGAAAAACAAGGAAGGAAGAGAGGTACAAGAAAAAGTGAGATAAAAGAAGAAATGTCTAGACAAGAAATGACAAGGACAAACGAGACGAGATAAAAAAAATACATGACAAGATTTGACGAGACAAGTAAAGACATGAAAAGAGTAGAGACCATCTGGAGACGTTATCACACAAGCCATGACGCGAAAAAGGACTTGGGCGTAAAGTTCGGGGGCCATTTATTTCTGGCACCCTTGCCTGGACCTCACCAACTGCATACACACCTTTTTGATTCATCTAAAAATGTACATTTAGTGACGGAAAGTGATTGGGCAAAGGGCTTAAAGTGGGGGTCTAGGTGTGTCGGGGCAAATGCGAGTGTAAAAATAAAGATGTGAATTGAAATGAAAAGATGAGAAAAATACATCTCGAGAAAAAAAAAATCCTCAAAGTGTCATTTCATCGAAAGAAACATTTGCAGTGCAACAATAAAATATGTGGAATATATAAAACCAACTTTTGAGAGACATTTTGTTTCATGCTGATTCAGAACCATTGCTTTCCTGTAATGTGTCTCTCAGGGTTTGAAGTCAATGGACTCAAATGGATTCGCTGACCCGTATGTGAAGCTGCATCTCTTACCTGGAGCCAGTAAGGTACAGTCACCTAACTTCCAATTTCAAGGTTTATTTTGAAGAATGTGCGGCTGTGTCCCTATTTTAAAGATTTACTTTACTTACTTATATTTTTCTCAGTCTAACAAGCTTCGCACCAAGACTCTGAAAACCACTCTGAACCCGGTGTGGAATGAGACTCTGGTCTACCACGGTATCACTGATGACGAAATGGCTCGCAAAACTCTCCGGTAAGAACAACCTTAACCTTTGTATCCTACCAATTAATTAAAAAAATAGTTTAATGAGGGATAATTTCCGTCTTCAGGCTTTCAGTGAGTGACGAGGACAAGTTTGGACACAATGAATTTATCGGAGAGACTCGAATCGCGCTGAAGAAACTGAAGTTTAACCAGAAGAAGAACTTCAGTGTTTGTTTAGAGCGGGTGATCCCGGTGAGCCTGACAACAACACTAAAATCTCATACTGTTAAAGAATTTACTGAGAAATACATGAATTTTAAATTAAATGGTCAGTTCAACTTAAATCCCAGTCAACTAAATAGGAACTTTTTCTACCCAACAAATATCTGTAAAGAGACGTTTATCATTGACACATTTTGTATTTAATTTCATGCAGAAATGTCAACATTTGGAGGAATAAAAACAAAAGATTGAGTTGCCAAAAACAATCTCCCCTCAAGGTTGATTAAACTGCAAAACAAATAAGACATTTCAGTTTGTTAATTTTTAAAGACAGTTTAGTAAATGTCCACTTTAGAGCTGCATTTCTTTTACCAGGCCAGACGAGCACTTTCCCCTGTTTCAATGTTTTTATGCTAAGCTATGCTAACTGTATGCTGCTAATAAGGCTTTAGTCAAAGTCAACTTTAATGTTATTTGTCATACAGATATAAAGCTAGAAAGCAATTAATAATTTCCCAAACGTTGAACTTTCCTAAAATACAGTACTTCTCTTTTAATTGACTAATGAATATACAGTAGCTTTTTGGTGAACAGAATATAATAATAACAATAATGATAGTGATGACGATGCTTTTTCTCTGTACAGGTGAAGAAGGCTGTGGGGGGATCAGCTCGAGGCATGGCTCTCTACGAGGAAGACGTAAGACCCTCACATCGATCTCATGATAATGTGCATTGGGTTTATTTTACTGTATAGTTGTATTCTAAGAAGTCTGCTTAGTTTGTGTGTATTTAAAAAAGTTATATTCAAAAATTTGAGGACAGCTTCATTGTTTCCTCCCATTGGTTTGTTAAACGACAGTGACCATCTGTTTTCGAAAATTAGTTAGCATTTTAAAAATAGTGAAGCCTCACTTCAGCAGAGACAGTTTTTAGAGACAGGCAAATGCATGTTGATTGAAGTCTGTTATAATGTACAAGCTGTATTGAGTTAACCTTAATGCATAATGATATACATGCACATTATTCAGTTCTTAAGCTCATACATTATCTTCCATTAGTAGGAATTATGATAATCACTGTATAATCCATCAAGCCAGTGCAGAGGGCAAAGGAGCGGAGTGAAATGTAATACTGTTACTTTACGTGCATTAGTGGTATCTGTTTTTGTGTGTGTGTGTGTGTGTGTGTGTGTGTGTGTGTGTGTGTGTGTGTGTGTGTGTGTGTGTGTGTGTGTAGCTGAAGGAGGGGGAGGACTCAGAGGAGAGGGGTCGTATCCTGGTGTCCCTGATGTACAACAGTCAGCTGGGTCGTCTGATGGTGGGCGTGGTCCGCTGCGCTCACCTGGCTGCCATGGACTCCAACGGATACTCCGACCCTTTCGTTAAATTGTATGTACTCCATTCATCTGAAATTAGGTATTCAAATGACCTTTACATTCTCTCTGAAGAGTGTCCATAGTTAAAAGAGGCAACTTTTGGTAGAGGGTTGAGGGCAATGTAACAAACTCACAAAATTGTCACTTGAAAAAAAAAAAAAGGAACATGTAAAGTAAAAGCAGTATTACTAACAAAATATGCTGCATTCAAATATCATATTAAAATATGGCAAACATTTTTGGAAATGTTCTTATTTTCTTTGCTGGGAGTTAGTTGTGAAGATTGATGCCACTCCAATGTATGTACGTTAAATATATACGTAGCTACAGCAAGGAGATAGTTAGCTTAGCTTAGCACAAAGACCCTTTTTATATCCTGATTTTTTAGGCATATTCTCTCCAGTACAGGTTAGCTCTGAGTGTTAGCAATGTTTGCTAATGTAAACAAAGACCATATTACTTCCAAAACACGTCGCTCATTGTTTCTGATAGTGACGTTTCTGATAGGGCAGTGGGTGTAAAGCTAGCCCACATTTCCGATATTACGTCATATAGGCAGCAAATCTGGATCAGCTCCGTTGTACCCCCGTTTTTAGAGATTTGGGTAGAGAGAGAGAGGGTTTTGCTTTCTGAGACTTTGTGAGTTCCCTGACACACCGGGGACACATATGTTTATCGAACTGTGCATTTTGCATGATAGGAGACCTTTAAGGGACAGACAAGGGGGGTATTGATCTTATCATTTGACTTTCAGCATAAAGGAAATAATAGTTTAGAATGTTGAACAATTTTGTCTGAAATGTCTCACAGATTTGAAGACATCATTGTTGATGATTTTGTTTCTGCAGTTTATACAAAGTGTTTTATTATAATGTGTGTCATAATGTCACTGTTTCTTTCCTTTGTGCTGTAGATGTCTGAAGCCAGATATGGGGAAAAAAGCTAAAAACAAGACGCAGACAAAAAAGAAGACTCTGAATCCCGAGTTTAATGAGGTCAGTTATTTCTCAAACTTTGGCATTGTATTTGCACATACTGAACTTCTCCATCTCTTCTGCTCAGCTAGATCTCAGTTAGAGATTTTGTAATCATGTTCAACAACTGTGTTTCAGGAGTTTGGTTATGAAATAAAACATGGTGAGCTAGCCAAGAAAACCCTCGATATCTCAGTCTGGGATTATGACATGGGAAAATCTAATGATTTCATTGGTAAGTGTGGATACTGTCTTGTGATCACGCTTCAAACATCATTTCCTTGGTTTTGCAATGTCTACTGTTTCGCATCAAATGTATTTATTGTACCTAGGATGATTCTTAACAACTTCGGTGATACTGAGTTTTTCTTCAAGCACCAACATGATGTTGATATTTGTGTGATTGAGTACAATTTCATTTGGATGGATTGGAAATTGGGTAAATGTATTTATAGATTTCAGGATGAAAAGTGAAAACTTTAGTGATCGCATTACTTTTGATGTTGGATTTATTACTAAAACCTGCAAAACTAATGTTATTAACATCCTCCCAGGCTGTTCTTAACTTAACTGAAGTAAGATGGGACACTATACCTGGTAAAAATCCGCATATAAGTCTTGCCATTGTGAGCTAAATACAGCGTCATAGAGATGCTATCATGTACAATAACTCTAGTGTTTATGTATTATGTATTACCGCTAACTTTTTTCTGTGCCTCCAGGAGGATGTCAGCTGGGCATCCAGGCTAAAGGGGAGTGTTTGAAGCACTGGTACGAATGCCTGAAGAACAAAGACAAGAAAATTGAGCGCTGGCATGTTCTGCTAAACGACAACTCTGTCCAGTTTGACGATTAAAACCTCTTCTATGTTTATTCTTTCTCCATCATTCCCCCTGTAGCATATTGTCTTCCAGTCAGCAGGGGCAGACGGATATTATCCTCTTGCTTTGATGTAGTTTGTCCCCTAAGTGCAATGTGCAGGCTACAATTCCAACAGTTTACAGGTGACCAACACGGATGTTGACCTCTGGCTCTTTTTTAATGAGGAGCATATCATATCATTAGCTGTTTCATATAATAAGTAAACCTCATATGCACTAATGATTGAACAGAGTTATCATTTTTTATGGAGAAACAAAACCTTGTTATCATTGTGATTAACACACTATGTTGAAATTAAGTGTGCCTCCATGGGTAATTCCCTTTTTTTTTGCATTGACCTGTTCTCCTAATGTTGATCTGTGCTCTTGTCGTACGATATGAGATCATGTAATGTGTTATCTACATGACAAGTGCTTGCATCATGCATATGTTAAATATTTAATGGGACAAATACAGCTGTTTGGTTTCCAAAATGATGTTTTTTGTTGATGTGAAATGCGTTTATTTATTTTTTTGACAACATGTTGGTCTCTTTATCACTTCATCACCTGTGCATGTGTGAGCTCTCCTCTACTGGAGAATTGCTGAAATGCTTCTGCATGACAGTTCATTATGAAGAACATACTCAATAAAACAATGTTAGCACACTTGCAGATAATCTGTGAATTTTTCTTGAGAGATATGAGATTCAGATCTGCAAGTGTTATCAGATTGATCATTCATATTTTGCTTTGTATTTATATCGATGCATGTCATATTGTAGCATACACGTGGCTAGTAAATAAAGACATCATGGCACTTCCTGTTCTCCTCTGCTTGCTTGTGTTGTGTCATGTCAGGAATCAGGCGAGGTTTGAGCCTATCAGCTCAGACAGACACGCGGCGGAGAGTTTTGTGAACTTTGACTTCTCGTGATTAAACCTCTCTTCTTTCCAAGTGGGTAAAAGTTTACAGACATGTTACACTCTGAAAGGTCTGCTTGAATTTGAAGTTCAGGAATAATCTACCCTACTTATCAGTAGTGGGGAGGTTCAAAGGAGGGCCTGATGGCAAACAAAACATTCATATTTGACAAAAAATATAAATATTTACAACTGATCTGACAACATCAAACATCTGGACAGTAGAAAAAAATTGAAAGGAAAAACCTTTTGGTTGCTCGCAATTTTTTCTTTTGTTCTTTTTTTTTCTTAAGTTCTGGATACTATCACTTCTTCAGTAGGTTCAATTACCTTTTTGTCTCGATTAATTTGTTCTCCGAGGCCATAACCTTTGAATTGTTTGTTTGACTCATAAATGCAGAGATTTTGTATTTTTATTCCATGCATTGGTCTTTCTCATCAAAACTTTGGACCTACATCACCCATAATGCTAATTGACCACAGATAATTCAGTCGGAGATTGAGGATTGTCATGTACAAAGTGGCTAATGTGTAAACAACGCTGACTCACTGACATCACTTGAGTCAATTAATCAAAGTTTGTACAGATCCCTTTAGGGACACAAAAGACTTTTCAACTAAATGTAACATACAGTATGCTAGGAATCCCAGACAACATAACTTTACTATAAAATCATTGTAGATCAAAAGGTTAAAATACTCCTGGCTTGAAAAATAGTCACCCCACATTTGTTCTCTCCTCTGATTGTCCCCACCTTCTGTCAATTAATGCAACATGAAAGCAATCACTGATATGATTAGGGTTAGCTGGGGTAAGTATTCTCTGTGGAGGAGTAGCATCCGGAAAAACATAACCTTGACAATAAAACAATATTACAAACATTTCTTTATTACCAACTGTAAACTATAAATTCACACAAATACTGTATGTTTTAAGCAAAATCCAGAAGTGTTTCCCCATAATTGCATCGAAACTGTAACAAAATGTCTCATACATTTCTTACTCAACTTTAAATGTAGTCCTCCCCACAATCTTTCAAAAATGATATCTGTTTGTCTAATATCCCATTTTGTAATCAATATAAATGTATGAGTTTTGCCCAACATTAATTGAAGAGTCTATTTATCGTGTATATCTGGGAGCAGCTGTCACTTATAAATGTGTTCGTCACATTTGCAGATTGAACTGATTTGGCGTGTGTGTGTGTGTGTGTGTGTGTGTGTGTGTTTGTGTGCGTGTGTGTTTGTGTGCGTGTGTGTTAATCAATGTATGTCATGGTCACTGTCAGTGATGCGTAGGAGACAGAGAGGAGTGATGTTTGACTGAACTGACAGGTCACGTGGTTCAGGCTGATTTGGATGTTGCGTTCATTTGAGATCCACTGAGTGGAAAAACCCGGCGCGCCACCGCCCCCCTTTCTCATTTAAAAACAGACCTAGCGTCTGTCAAGCTGTCATTGAGTCATCAGTGGGTGGAGGATTCATTCGTTTTAGATTGAAAGTTTAAGAGCCCCTCTCTTTCAGCCGCTTTTTTCGCGCTTTTTCACCATGACGCACATCTCTCCTTTTCTCACTCTCATTTTAACTTTGTCCCTCCTGAGCTGCACGGCTGCAGAAGCGTCTATCCTCTGCACCTGGACCAAAGTGTTGTCTAATAAAGAGGTGCATTACGTCTTTCTCCACGGTGATGCCTCTCCATCTCTGCGGCTCTACCACAGCGCCTGGTCCGAGCAGCGCGCACTGCTCAGCTGCACTTGGAGCGACGACGCAGCAGTGATCCAAAACTATTTCTCTCTATGCCGTGAGCGCAGGGACGAGTTCTCAGATCATCCAGATAAAAGTACCGATTTGGACTCCATGTTGAATGCAGAGGGGCTGTGCGTCTCCTTGGCTTCTCCAGGAGATGGAGGACAGGAGGTGCGAGCCGGAAAGAGGCTGGTGAGGAGCGTCAGTGGACACTCGGCAGATGAGAATCATCAAGGTCAAGCTGAAAGGTCAGAGGTCAGGGCTCACCAGCGTGTAAAGCGTGGCTTTATTGTGCCAGGGACTCTGTGGTGCGGCTCTGGCAACAAGGCGCCATCATATGCAGATTTGGGTAGGTTTGTCTCTTTTCTTTCCTCTAAAAATCAATGTAATAGTCCTTAATTAATGTTGGAAAATAGTTCCCAGGAAAATCTGACAGTTATGATAAAAGGTGTTTCGTTTCTTTTTATTAAAATACTGAAGACTTTTCTTACTTTACATGACATTAACTCTATCCAAGCAAGTTGTGTCACTTAAAGGTAAACAAACTAATTGCTGTTTGAAGGGGACCTATCATGCAAAATGCACTTTTGTACGTCTTTTATACATGAATATGTGTCCCCGGTGTGTCAGGGAACTCACCAAGTGTCAGAAAACACAACCCTTTCTATTTTCCTCCATACCCAAACCCAGGGGTGGCGGGTAGGCTAGGGCCCAAATATTTTTGTCACTGCATCCTGGTAAAATAAAAATATAATGTATAATGTTTGTGTCTTTGACATTAGCGCTGCTATGCAGCCACCTGTGCCCTGTACGAAGCCAGTTCAACATACCGGGTCATTCTACAGAAAAGGTGGAAGTACTGTCACTTACTTTTGCAGACACCAAAATACATGACGTTGACCTAATACTCACATTCATTATATATGTTGAATAAATAGAGATTGTCTTTGCAATGGTACTAAATAAAAAATAAATAAAAAATGGTTTCATACATAAATTTCAATTTATTTAAAATGCCAAGTTCAAGGAACTGCCTTGTCCCTTTGATCATACATGGAAGTGGAGCCTATAGTTTAATTTTTTTCAATAAATAAATCTAATTTATATTTACATAAAATTACAAGCATTCAATATAACACTGAAATGGTAAAAAAAAAACCGCAAATTATTATTATTAATATCAAATAAATGTCAGTCACCCAAAATTACGTCATTGGTGTTACTGCTACACAAAACGCTTTTATTTATTAGTGTAATTTCATAGCCCTAGGGGTGAACATTTGAATGGGAAAATGTATTGTATTGAAGAGTTAAACGATTTTGATATTGACTGAAGTCATATTTGGTCTGACACATTGCAGCCATTTTGTTAAAATTGTAGTGTTTTCTCCAAATTGTCACTGGTGTTACCGTCACTGGTGTTACTCTTCTTCCTGGTAACACGTAACACAGTGACATTCCTATACAAATAAGCTTTGTATAATGTATAAAAATAATTTAAAAAATAAAAATACTTTAAGCTCTACTTGTTGTGGATTCATCAAGTTAAGAGTTAGTTATTGCTATTTAACAGCTTTTAGACGTTTTTAGAAGGAATATATTTCAGCAGATTTGTATCACCCAGATTCCACCTTTTCTGTAGAATGACCCAGCTACGATCAGCCCTGCCAAGATCACTGTTGTTGAAAAGTCCATAATGCTCTTAACACTTCGTCCTCTTGAATCTCTGCTGCTCAACAGATCTCTAAATGCTTGAATCCTTTCATTGGAGCTTATATTTAAATGGGTGTTTATCTTTTACAGCAGGTTGGCAGGAGCGCTGCATTAGGACACAGGTCAGCCATGTGACACTCCTTGCTAATTTTCCTGCCTTAACTCCACAAACAAACTAAACAAGTTTAACAAATGCCCAGGGCCGTCCCTCCCTGCAGGCCGATCATGCAGGCTGCATTTTTGGATGCATTTTTTTCATTTTTTATGAGTAGGGTTGGGGGGATGAGTAACAT